AAAAAAAAAAAAAATAAAAAAACAAAATGCTTCTTCTCTTCCTTCAAAGTCTTGTCTGTTGTGTTCGCGCGGGTTTTTTTTTTTTCAACGTTGAGCAAATTCAGGTGCGGCCCTGTTTCGTCGATTAATATTTGAACGGCTGGCTTATACTAGGTTAGTACTGAAAAAGTTATCGTGGTGGGTGCGAGGGCAAATGGAGGAGAGAGAGAGAGAGAGAAGAGTAGAGAGGGGGTAGGGTAGGACACAGAGAGAGAGAGAGAGAGTGAGAAATAAAGAGAACGAGAGAAAGAGAGAGAGAGAGAGAGAAGAGTAGAGAGGGGGTAGGGTAGGACACAGAGAGAGAGAGAGAGAGTGAGAAATAAAGAGAACGAGAGAAAGAGAGAGAGAGAGAGAGAAGAAGAAGCGCGGGGGTGGTGTAGTGTGGTGTGACGATGAGAAGGAGTAAGGGAGGGAGRGGAGGGGAGGGTGAGGGAACCGTTGATAAAACCACAGATGTTATCCGCGAAATTCAAGGTCCCTCTATCTCCGACGAACGTGGCCAACTAAAAATACGACGACCTTGGTGCGCCACTCACGTTCCTACCGCGTTCGCACTGCGAATCATTAGACACATTAAATTATACGACGCTCGTCCCACAAGTAAGCAAGCAAGCAAGCAAGCAAAGCTAGCTAGCAAGCTAGCAAACCAAACCAACCAACCAACTCATCGAGAAAATGTCGAAAGACAATTCTATGAGTAAAGCCAACTCTTTTCGTGAAATCCAATATATTTTCTTCTTTCCCATTTTCTTCTACGTTTAATTATTTTTTTGTTCCCCTATTTTTATACATAGATGGGAGCTCACATATATATACTCGAGTTCTTTCTTTCTCTTTCGTTCATGCATGCATATGTGTATATATATATATATATATATATATATATATGTATATTTTATCTTCGTTTGCCTATTAATCTTTCTCTTTCGTTTTTATTTTCTTTCTTTCTATTCTTTATCGTAGTCTGTCTTTTTATATATATATATATTTTTTTTTTGGTTCTTTCCTTGTTCTACGAAAAGCAGCCTCCTACCAAGAAACATCGGTGCCGTCGAGTTGCACTTTTTAACGCGAACGCGAATATATAGACTTGGAACACGGTGCAAGATACTACACAACGTACGAAAAGGCGAGCACTAAAATAGATTTATGCTGCCGTCGGCCGACGCGTTTTAGAAAAGAACTCTCCTATATATCGTGCCTTTTATTCGTCCCGAGTATAAACCAGTAGTGAAATTTTTTGGTTACGGTTATACCACCAATCGTAAGTTTTTCGTGAACGTTTTCGCGGTGGATGTTTCTGGGGACGTTTCGGGGACAGTTTCTGTACTCTACTAGTATGGAAACTTTGTTAAATTATAATAAATTAAATTATATTATTGAAGTATATAATAATTTTATTTAAATATAATATTATATTTAATTTATGTTTAATTAGTTAAAAAAAAATTATTATTTTTAAAATAATATTAAATTATATTATATTTATATTTATATTATATTATATTTAGTATATAAATTGTTATTTAAAAAAAAAAATATTAACTTATACTCAATTACTTAAATTATCAGTTTTAAAATATAAAAATATTGTAATTTATAAATATTATTTATATTATATTATAATATATAGTATAATATAATAATATATATTTATAGATATTTTAATAATCATATTATTTTTAAAATAATAATTTCAGTAATTAAGTATATATAAATTTAATGTAATATTATATTATTTTTTATTTTATTATATTAATTTGCTTATATATATATAAGTAAGAAATTAAATTAGGTTGTCTCAATAGTTTYTTCTTTTTTTTTTTTTTTTGTAATTCTAAGGACACAATATTTTTTAGGTTTAATGATTTAAAGTAAAGAAAAAGGTAAAATAGAATAGAATCGATACTATTTAGTAAAATAACGTAAAATACAAAAAAAAAGTATATTAGTATATATATATATATATCACTTACATAGTAATACCAAATGTATATAAGTAATATTGTTTAACTTATCACTAAAAAAAAAAGGAAGATATTTTGTGACCCAACTTAATATAATATTTTACACATTACACTTAAGTTAATCTTTTGTTAACGTAATCAATAATTCGAGATTATTTATTTTCTGTTTTTTCTTTTTTGTTAATTTTTGTTTTATTTTTTTACACGACTATTTCGTTTAATTCGTTCAATTCGTTGTCCTATATCGTTAAGAGGATCATCCAATAATAATGAGAAATAAAATTGCAGAGAAAGGGGGGGAGTTTCTAAGTTTTGGCAACGTTTCAAAAGTTTAACGTGATAGCTTG